CCTTCCTTCCTTCCTTCCTTCCTTCCTTCCTTCCTTCCTTCCTTCCTTCCTTCCTTCCTTCTATCCATCCTTCCTTCCTTCTCACTTAGCAATAGCACTTAGACTTATATACCACTTTACAGTTCTTTACAACCCTCTCTAAGCGCTTTACAGAGTCAGCCTCTTGCCCCCAACAATTTGGGTCCCCATTCTACCCACCTCGGAAGGACGGAAGGCTGAGTCAACCTGGAGCCTGGTGAGATTCAAACTGCCAAATTGCAGGCAGCTGGCAGGCAGCAGAAGGAGCCTGCAGTACTGCACTTTGCACCACCGTGGCTCACAGAAGAATAATGGGACTGTTTTACAAGGTGGCAAATATGACCAATTAGAACCAGAAGCACTGAATCTAGGAAACTTCTCCACCTGAAGCCTGGCAGATAGATATAAAATTAAATTTTTTTTAAAAAAGATTAAAAGTAATACCTTGGCCTGAAATTGCCTCTTGCAAAACCTAGAGCCAGCCCAACCTGCTTACAGATTCCTACCTTACATGAATACGTTCTATGTGACTCTCGTGGTGTGGCTTTCCTGCATAGGCATATTGCTCTGCCTATGCGCTTTGAACATCGGTAACTGGCCTCATCAGAGCCCCACCCTATATGGGAAGTGTGTGCAACACACCGAAAAGACTTGAGTTCCTCCAGATACAGGAGACTGCGAGTCCCATCCGAATCCTTTAGTTCCTCCAAGGTGGGTCCTGTCTATCGTTAATTTTCATTTTATCCATGGATGCGGGGTGGAGTAGAATTAGCCTGCTACATTTGTTCACTGAGTGACGACCACTGACATTCTGGTTTTATTGCTCTTAAGAATTTGTCAGTAGCTTCCAAGAAGGGAACCCCTTCCGTTCTTCTGGCTTGGTATGATCCATGCAAATAACTCCCACTGGTGGCAAGTGAGAAAGACTCATTCTTGTTTTGACTGAACGGGGGAAAACAGCTGAAACACTCTCCCCAGCTGATAGCCTGGACGAAACAAGAGATCTTTATCCATGGTCCTCCGAATCCCCCTTCGCAGGAGTGCCAGCTTCACTCCTGACCACCACCAGCCTGGGGCAGAGGTCTCTACTTCTACCCCCGTGAAAATGGAAGCCAACGTGGTGGTCCTGGGAGCAGACAGCGTGGGAAAGTCAGGTAAGTTTTGGCGACAAAACTATCCCGGGTCGTTTGCAATTCTAGGCTGCGAAATAATCTCTCTCCGCTTAAAAAAAAAAAAAAAAATCCACAGAAAGAAATTTGCAAACAGTGCAATACAGTGCAGGGTGTCAATGAAAGATGAAAGTTGCCCTGCCCAGAAACAGTAGACAGGTAAAATGTAATGCTGCAACATTTAATGAGTGATACTATGTAGATGTGTGGCTAAACAGTTCTCTCTGCTCCATTAACCAAACAAATTACTAACCGGCTTGTCAAATTCCGTAAGTGCTGCAGAGGAGCGAAAGGGAATTAAGGTAGTTGTTCACACCACTAGTAACAATTCTGAGCTTCCACAAGCTTCCAGCGCAATTATCGGCATGTTTAACACTGAGTGAGTCTTACTGAATTCAGAGATCTTATGCCCAGCCGCAACCTGAATCTCTTAACCTTCTGAGCTCAGATGCTATGATCGCAGTTGCACATTATGTGCTTTTTATAAGTTGCCGACCTTAAGATGTGTTTGGGGAACAAATTTTTGAGCTTCCTTCCACACCCCCAAAAAATTAATACATGGGTTTATCACTGAGTAAGCAAAGTCTCTAGAGTAATGGCTAAATGTGTTTAGGATGATAAGCAAAAATTTGATGGTTACAAACAAGCTGATGATTTTTTAGAGGAATTGATTTTCAGCTCTGCAAAAATGGAATAAAGGCTCAAAAGATTGATTCTACACAAGTTTTAGCGTTATTTTCTATTGAAATTTACAGAGTCTACATGAAATATATAAGGGATGCGGTGGCTCAGTGACTAAGATGCTGAGCTTGTCGATCAGAAAGGTCGGTAGTTTGGAGGTTCGAATCCCTAGTGCCGCGTAATGGGGTGAGCTCCCTTTACTTGTCCCAGCTTCTGCGGACCTAGCGGTTCAAAAGCATGTAAAAATGCAAGTAGAAAAACAGGGACCACCTTTGGTGGGAAGGTAACAACATTCCATGCGCCTTTGGCATTTAGTCATGCCGGCCACATGACCATGGAGATGTCTTCGGACAGCGCTGGCTCTTCAGCTTTGAAACGGAGATGAGCACTGCCCCCTAGAGTCAAAAACAACTAGCACATATGTGCGAGGGGAACCTTTACCTTTATATGAAATATTAAAAATAGGTAATGTGTTAAGGTACAACGGTAAATTTTGAGGATACGGGTCTTTAAATATTTAAATTTGATTCGAAACTTGGGCTTTATTTTTAAGGGGGGGGGACAGCTTTTTTTTTTTTTTTTGCTGATGAATGATAACGTCCTTTTCCATTCCTCCTCCTGCCCCATCTGTTCTATATAACAGTTTCAACTCCCACTCTTTTTCACAGCTCTGACGGTGCGTTTCCTTACCAAAAGGTTCATTGGGGAATATGGAGACATGGGTGAGTGTTCGGATCTTTACCCAGTTTGGGACTGGTGAATAATCTCTTTCATCCTGGAAATGGTGGGTGATGGGTAGACCATCGAATTGGACACCCACAGAAACCTATCAGAATATGTTTTGGGTAAGGCAGTGTTTCTTAATCTTGGCTGCTTTATCATATCT